TTTTTTCCTGAGAGCGAGTCTTGCCGCGTTGCCCCGGCTGGAGTGCAGTGGCGCGACCTCGGCTCAATGCAACCTCCGCCTCCCGGCTTCAAGCCATCCTCGTGCCTCAGTCTCCCGAGTAGCTGGGATTACAGGCGTGAGCCACGGCGCCCGGCCCAGGTGGCTAAGTTTTAACTTTTTCTTGGTAGACACCGGTGTCTCGCTATGTTTCCCGGGGTTCAAGCGAGCCCCCCGCCTGGGCCTCCCAAAGCGCTGGGATTAGAGGCGGGAGCCGTCGCGCCGTCGCGGGATTGACTGTGTTGTGTTGCGCATCGCGCGTTGTTCGCAAGACCTGATGTCTCCCTTTCGGTCATGTATAAAGATACATTCCTCCGAAAAACTACGCGTTTCCGTAATTTGCATCACATCTTAGGTCTTTAAAGGGAATCTAAAGAGAAAGATGACTTCATCATCGCAGTACATCTGCTGAAGTACCTGAGGCTTTGAAAAGAGAAGAAAAAAAGGCGGAACGGAAACGGCCAGAGGGCAGGTGCTGACCCCACCCCCAGCGAGGCTCTGCCCGGAGCTGCCCCGCCCGCAGGAAGCCCGGGGCGGGGCCGAGGTCAAGGCTCCGCGGCAAACTCGCCCCTTCCCCGCTGACGGGCACCGGGGATTGGTCGGGCCCCGGCTTCCCGGACGTGACGGCAGGGCCCGCGTGGGCGGTGCACCGCTCCGATCTTCCTCCGCCACGCCCCCTGAAGCTCCCAAACCTGAAAGCGGCGGCCGGGGCGGGGCCTGCGGGCGGCGGCCGCGGGCGCGGGGGACGGGGCCTACCTTGCGGCGAAAGCGGGTTGGTGGCTGCGGCTGCGGCTGCGGGCCTGCACTTCCGCCAGTGGTCGAGAGCGGGGCCCCCGGCATGGAGATGGGCTACCAGCTGACGCCAGGCAGAGTGCGGTGAGGGGAGCGGCGGGCTGGAGGCCGCAGGCCTGGCGGGAGTGAGCGCAGGCGCGGCTTGTGCGCGCAGGGTCGCGTTGGGGAACCATCGCGGCGCTTGGGGCCCGGTGGACGGATAGGTGGGAGTCGGCGCCGCCTCGGCCGCTTCCCTCGGTGCGGGGGCGGGAGCACCCCTAGACGGCTGGCGGCCGCCCTGTTGCCTTCCTGCATGCTGGACCCGGTCGTTGGTACCCCCTGTCCTTTCGTTGTCTACGCTGCGGTCTTGTGTGAGCTGTTTTTTGGTGTGGACCCTGCATAGTTTCCTTCGGGGAGACTAGGATGTCTCGGGGTGGGAAGTGTCGGTCCCCTCCACTCCCTCGCCTACCTCCGGCCCGGCTCCCCTCCCTTTGGATTGTTGTTGTTTTTCTTTTTTTTCTTTTTTTGGAGACAGGGTCTCTCTCTTGTCACCCAGGCTGGAGTGCAATGGCCCAATCACGGCTCACTGCAACCTCGACCTCCTGGGCTCACGCGATCCTCCCGCCTCATCCCCCGCCCCCTCCCGAGT